ATAACGGAAATACTGCATATTCTGGTTCTTTCCATCTTGTTCTTGCATCTATCATGTTCCTGAAGTCTCAATTTTAAAGCGTGTTTAGTTTGCTCGATGCAGTCAAGGTTTCACTTACAAGGAATTTTTTTAAAAGCCCCAGCGATAAGCTAATAGGATCTTAAAGAGACTTAAATTTGATTGTGTTAACATGGTTGGAAAATGACTTGAAAATCAATGCGGCTCTGTTGATTAATGTTTTGTTCCTAATTTAATAAATTTTCTGGAACAGGTTCAATAGCAAATCTAGTTTTAACAATAAGGTAGATTTCTGGTCTAAAGGTCAGATTTAATTCTTTATTTTTAATATTTTCTTTTTTTGTGAATTAATAGATTAAGTTATATAATGGAATCGCGTTTTATTTCTTTAATTTTCGGCTACATTTTGAATTTTTCCTAGGCCGAAATAATTATAAATTAACATGTAAAATTGACAACGATGGTAGTAGCGCACGCCGAATGTTAATCTTCATACTGTATAGTCTGAAGCAGACGAAAACAAAAATTAACGATTACGTATAATTGTAGCTAAAGTTAAAACAAAGAAAAAATCTGAATAAATTTCTTCTTTTTAAGAATTGGAGGCTTTTTGAAAGAAAAAAATAAAACAAAAGTCAACTATAGTTATATCGATTCCCAACAAATTTTCAACAAGACATCAAAATCAATCGATCATTTTTTTTTTTTTTTTTTTTGCAATCTAAAGGTCCAACCAAAAAGACATGATATTTGGAAAATCGCATTTGAGTTCTTAAACCTTTTTGCTTTGTTTCTTAAGAATTTTCATCAAGCTGTGATACCTCGACCATTAAGCAAGTCCTTCTCAAACAGCACTCTTTCGTTGGCGTGAACTGTTTCCTCCTGGGTTGCAGATGTGTCATCTTTGGTTAAAGTGGACGCTTTGTGCTACGATTCTACTAGGTGGTTTGCGTTGCATTTTTCCCAAAACCAGAATGTTTTATTGCCAATTCGAATACCCATGGCATCCATCATGCTGGCAATTCCCATGAAACAGTCGTTGAAGAACATCTCCTAATAATTGGGTTTTGGAGAAAGTACCCAAATAAAAGAATAGAGTGATTCGCTATTGTTTTGGTTTTCCCACCATCACATGCTTCCAGTTAATGATAATTAGTCAAATGTTGGATTACAGGCCTGATAGTCTCCTTCGCCTTTCATGAGCGCTCGACGACATAAAACGGCAGATCCGATGATCCATCACCTCCTACATCAGAAAGCCTCCACACGGTTTCTTATAAGTAGTCTGAACAGATTATTTAAAAAGCGAACCACTTGTGCGCAATGCGCATGAACCCAAATTCTATTTTAAAAGTACTTGAGAGAAATTAATCATGCATATTTGAGAATTGAATTTGTAGTGGTTAACTTGTAAATAAAATAAACCAATTATATTCATAAATTAAACAAATTTTTAGACATATATTTGCTACCACTTTCTAATTTTTTATAGATTTCATAATAAATGGTTCTTTCAATAATTGGTTTACCTTCATGATGGTCTGATCGGACTATCTACAAAAAACCGTGTGGAGGTTTTAAGTTATAGGAAGCGTTGGATGATCACGCTTTTAAACTATATCAAACAGTTTCCGGGCAAAACGGTTTCATCCACTTCTTCTGGATAGAATAAGGTATTAAAATATGGAATAAAAAAAGGATCGGTGGAGCCCGAAAGCCCCCTTAAAACGACCAATTCAGTTAAAATAGTATACCTACGTGCTCCTTTCAGAGTAGAGAAAAGCAACTACAATTTTCGATTGAAAACTTTGTTTTGGATAGCGAATAGTGTATCATATGTATGAGTAAATTATAATGCCATGTTCTTGGAAACCTGATAAGGTAATAAACTATGCATTGTAAATTGTTAAATGCTCTGTAAAGAATAATAACTGAAAATACCAAGAACTTGATGAATTGCCATTTGAAGAGTCTTTAAAACGCAAATGAAATGCACCATTTACTTTATCATATACAATACACCATTTAAAGTGCTACCCGCCTACCCTGGAAACCACTCCGCGAGTCCCTAATCCCCATCTTCCGTCACTGGCAGAGAGCAATTGAACAGCGGTCTAGCCCTCTTTGCTTCTTAAGTAGCTCAGAGAGCTTTAACTTTTTGTAGATAATAATATCCACACACATTTTCTTCTTTTTCAGTTATTTTGTAAACAAAGGTCAGGCGATAGTTATCATCGTCGTTGGTGATCGTATCTTTAACTGAAAATTTTGATTCTAAAAACCGGCTTCCTCCACTAACCGAATATCTACATTGCACTAAGAATAAATATCATTTTTATCTTTCAGTTTTTAATGGTGCTGTGTGTTTAAATGTACGATGGAATTCATAATTGTAGACTTCAATTCAATCATAATACTTCAATTTTCTGCAAACGGAAAATCCTCGGTAACTCTCAAATCAATCGCTCTTCAGTGCAGCACTAAGAGCTGGCCATTAAATAAAATCCATCTATTTAAGCTTTTAGCTCCATTTACTATTCTGTTTTCATATTTTGAACTCTGGCAATCTTTTTATCATTTTTGAAATTTTCTCGTACATGTATACATGTAAGTTAATTTGAATTCGCTACTGGGATTATACATATGAACAAGAAAAATTTCCTTATATTTTGAGTGTCACTTCTTAGACATGATATTCATCTGTTGTACTGAAAAAGGAAATAAAACACCCCATGCATAGGAGCAAAAGAAAAAGAATGCCTTATTTATAAATAATATTCACGTTAATGTTTTTGCAGATGTTAGTATAGAGTAGAAGTCAAGTACTGTCTACCAAAATACAACGAAATGATAGACAAGATGGTAAGGAATTATTCTACACTATGTGAAACTTACATATGCTCGCATTTATTGTACAACGTTTCTGCTATCTCTATCTTCAAAATTTGGATATTTTTCGAGAAATCTTTTGTCACCCTAATTACGCACTGTCTGCTCATCTTGTGCTTGTTGAAGAGCTACGTACTAGTGTTTTGCGTATCAGTTAATCTACAATTCGAATGGCTAGAAATCAGTTTGGCGATGTTTTGCTGAAGCTTTCACATCTCACGCTTTCACGTACGTCACCTCTAATCTCTAACTAATGATGGAACTTCTACATTTTCAAAATGTTGTGACTAGCACTCCTGCGAAAGAATAATCTTCACTCAGCGACCATCCATTCGCATGCCACTCTCGTCGCGCCAATGAAGAGAACGTTTGAGGTTGTCGCATCAACATGTCTACTGGAACACTGACCAATGGAGAATTATTTTCTTCACTTATTAGTCCAGGCTTAGTCTCCCAAGTGAAAGTAGGCATAGCTTGATTTGGTGAGAACCTGGAGTTCAGTATTGTCCGTAAATATTCTTTAAAGTAATGCATACCTGGGCGACTGTGTCTCTGTGTGGGGTGCTATTTCTTTGGCTTTGCGCACATATCTGTATGCCTTTCCACGTGGAACCGTGAATACTCAGGTGTATGATGACATCCATGATGTCCAGGGACTAATATAGGGGATCTTTATATCTATGATGATGTCTACGTGGCCCTTATGCTGGTGCAATGAGTGATGATTTGTTGGACAACAACTCAACGCCGCACAGGGCACTGATCATGGAAGATTATCTTCACCAGTAAACAATTCAGCCCATGAAGTGGCCAGCTGGTACCCGGACTTGAATCTAATCGAGCATGTTTAGGATGCTTTAGGAAGACGTGTAGCTGATCTCAATCCTCCTCATCAGATGCTTGTCACGCTTGCAACTGCTTTGAAAGAACAATGCCTTGTGTTTTCAACGAAATTGGTAGATCACGTAACAAAAAGCATTACCTTACCTGCCAACTTTCCCGGATTTTGCGGGTGATTTTATTTTCATATTTAAAGTGCTAGTAAATATATACTATTTTTTCTTTTATAAATTTAATTTTTAAATGATTTTGATCACCACTATTCTTACAAAAATTAAGCTTATATATTAATATGCGTTACTATCATGATTGTCAACTTAATTTTTTTCAAATACAACGTATTTGTTTGCTTAAAATTGAAGTTTTAATTCCATTTTAATACCACTGGGAAAAATGATAATGGAAGGGATTAAAAGTTGGCAGGTCTGCATTACATATCGCTGCATGTGTTCGATTGTGGCTAGAGGTGATCATATTTCCTACTGAAGGTACATTTTCTAATCCAAACTAACACATCTGATTTATTCATTTCATACATATGCTAATTTGTGTCATACTATAATTTTCTTGTTATTTTATGGTCTATCTATGTTATTTTATATATTGTTATGTGCACTATAATGTGCGTCAGTTTCCTTAAATTCTATGCGTAACTTTTTATGTTATGGTCATTTTGCGATTTTAGTTTAATTTATGATATAAAGGCTATATATAAAGTATTATAAAGTATATTAAGACATTAATTTTGCTACCGTCTGAAAAGAAGATTTCTGAAACTACGGAAATTCCGTAGCAGTTGGAGGGTATGGGCCGCTGAGTTTAGTTTAGTGTATTATATTAAATTCAAACGCGCATTTCAAGTAATCTTTATTTTCTTCAACTCGCATTTAGATCTAAGTTTGAATTAAAAAAATTCAATTAATGATGTGAAATTATTATGTTTATTTGGTATTTTTACGGCACTTAAGAGATGTGTTATTGTGAGTTTAAATGGAAAAAAGTGTATATAAGAGAGTAATCATGAATGAAAAAAATAGATGGAAAATAATTCGTTTGCAATTTCATGAGGAAATGTAATAAAACTAAATTTAACTATCCATCTGTGTAAACCAAAGGATTTATCGTCTCGCTGTGAATACCAAGATGAAGAAATAAGTGTACTACATTTACCCATCGTATTTGGACACTTCTTTTTTCACTATAAAAGTAATAGTTTGATTTACTCTTTATCTCTTTAATTATAAAATATTGAAAGCGTCACAATATCATGATCAGATGCGTCACAATACGGCTTTCGTAATAGTAAGTCTTTCTGGTTTCAGTTTTCAACGTTATAAGTTGGCAGAATAATGGATTATAGATTAGCTTTCGTATTTTGTTTTTTAATACTTCAGTTTCAAAGTAAGTAGAAAGTTTTTAACCTGATAAGAGCTGTATTAAGTTATACAAATCCCCCGCTGGATTTCGGATTCAAAATCAAGCTATGGTGTGCATACAATATTCACCTCAAAAGGAGTTCAAATTATCTTCTTTATAAATTTAAAAAAAAATATCTTCCCAGATTTTCTTTAAAAAATTATAAAATATATAAATGAAGATTTAAATATTATCCAAATTGCTGTGAATATTAACAAACAGTTTATATTTAAAAATTGTAAGAGCTCATTTTATTCTTGAAGCACTGGTTTGCGTGCCATTTATTTTCCGTTTCCTTTCAGCCCCGGCTCATATGCAAAGAAAAGGAAGCTTTTGAATCGAATGATTCTTGAATGCAATTCGTTAATGTGTTGAACAGCTTCATAGAGCAAAAGTTAATTCTCTACGCAGCTTCGACGCAATTGCGAACGTAGCTACAAGTAACGGCTAGCGTATGTAGCTGATTTTGGGCCGTGAGCCCCTTCCACGCCGCCATATAAACTACTTAAGACTTCAATTGGTAATATAAAAGAAATATACTTTCAAATAGTACTTGTTTCGTATTTTTCAAATTTTGAAAGAAAATTATATATTTTTTGGACGACGAGTAAATACGTCATACGCAATGCAATAGGGACTACGTTCGACGTGTACATTCGTCATGTGCGCAACGATAGAGACATTCTGACTAACGCTATTGTTGATGTTTGTTGTTCAAAAAATAGTAATTGCTAAGCTTTTAAGAGCAATTAGTTTTGCATTGCTATAGAGATAGCAACTTACCCTGGACAGCGGATAAATATTTTATTGTGGTAGTCTTTTCATGTTTGATTCTTGATTCAGTAAATTTTATTGATAGGGTTTTTAGACACCATTATTCTTTTAAATATTTTAGACTTAAGTAATTTTTTGTTAGAGCTAGGTCGTGTTGAACAACTTAAGAAGTTCGCTAAATTTAATGACTATCTGCAAAGTTTAATTCAATTTGTAGTTTTTCAAAAGTTTTTAAAATATTTTGTCGAATTCGGGGCAGATGTTAGCTGTTGCTAGTGGCCTGCATTTTTCCACCCTTCTTGCCAATATGTTTAAAGCCTATTTACGAGGAACTAGAACAGAAGTGGCGTTGCATATTAACTTTTAAATCATTTATATGTAGTGGTAGGGAAAATAAGTTTAAAGAAATAAAAAACAATACATTAACCCTTTCACACCGACTGTCACAAATACGTGCCAGCATAAAACCGGATCAATCAGGATAAAAAGATGAAACTGGTAAGCAAAGTATTTCTTTAGCAGTTTATTTGTGGGCGGAGTTATAATTGTTTCATTTATTCAATTCATCATTACTTTGTTCAAAATAAAACTATTTAGTTATACTTTGAATTAACATTGATTATATATATGATTAAACTAACAATAATTAAAGTAAAACCAAAGTAAATCTGTCAAATTAGCAACGACTATATTTAAGTTACCGTTATTTGTTTAATTATAACTTGATTCTGATTTTGTACGAATGCTTTTCTGAATCACCCGTCCCCCAAGGAGTTAAGGCAGAGATGCCAACTTGCTTCGGACAGCAAATAAATATTTTAAAGTGGTAGTTTATCAATTGTGATTTTTGGTTTAATAAATTCAATTTAGTAGGTTTTTATCCACTACTATTTTTAAATAATTCGCAGACTTATATAATTGACCACTGTGTCATGCAGTACCTCCTAAAAAGCAAGCAAAAATAGGCAAATATTTGCAAAATTTAGTTTGTAGACATTTACCGTTTTTTAATTATTTTGGCCTGTCAGGAGCAGTTGGCATCTCTGGGTTAAGGCATAAATATAGCTACCACTAGAGAATTTATGTACAAAAAGCATTGAAAGTTGGCAGCCCTGCTACAGAGATGCCAACTTGCTCCGGACCGCAAATATATATTTTAAAGTGGTAGTTTATCAATTGTGATTCTTGATTTAATAAATTCAATTTAGTAAATTTTTATTCACCACTATTTCTATATAATTCGTATACTAATATAATTCACCACTTTACAGTACTTATGTCATGCTATACCTCTTAAAAAGCAAGTAAAAATAGTCAAATATTTGCAAAATTTACTTCGTAATTATTTACCGCTTTTTTAATTATTTTGGAGCGTCCGGAGCAGTTGGCATCTCTGCTGCTATTGGTGAATTATTGTTGCCATAGTAGCAACACTGTTCCGTAAAGAGTAAATAGTAGACTCAATGCTGGCAACAAATTTAAAAAATATTTTCTGAAATACAATCCGTACTCTGAATAATTTCCGTAATTGTTGGATAATATGAGGTAAAAAAAATAGTTTGCTTTCTCTTTTTAGATATTATTTCAATTTTAAAAGTCACAAAAAGAACTTAATTTTTGCGAATTTTTTTTAAATGAATTTTAGACATGATTTCGGTGAATGGAATTATCAGTGCAAGTTTTTTGAAAGCTCATTTTATTTATGTTGATTAATAATGATCAATTTATTGTTTTGGGTTTCCGTTATATGTTTAATTTTTTGTTTTATCAAAAGTGTCAGAATTAATATTTGCATAATAACGCTGGGAATTGAATATGAATTGAATAACATCACCTGGTTTCGATGTCATTCAATTTAGATTGACAATACACGGGGAAAAATATGTTATATATTTAGATGGCAATATCATTTAAGTAAATGGATGGAAGTCGAAAATTGTATTTTTTCTACATTTTCGACTTTCACTACCTTAGAACTTCTGTATTATTAGTCCTGNTAGTTACAGATATTTCATTTTTTTCGAAAAAAATGATGGAATGAAATGTTTTACGTACCAGGCTTTTCTCTTTTCCGTCTTGATATATAAGGGCTTTCACCCATGTATACAGGCATGCCCGTAGCCAGGGGATGACCATCGGGACAAATCCCCCCCCCCCCGAAATTCTGGGATTCAAACTTTTTAGTCTTTCTTTGAGCCTCTCAGTAAAAGGAAAAACAAAATCTGTCGAATCAAACCTTTTATTAACCAACTTCAATAAGCATATTTCGAGATATTCCGGTTTGTCTTGAAAAAGTAATCGAAAAATTTTCTTCAAATCCCCGTCGCATGTCTTTGTAAACTTTGTTTACAAATTGTTTATAATTATTATGTAATATAAATTGGAAAATAATTATTATGTAATATTTTTTAATTACTAGTTTAACTTTTGCATACAACAGAATAAACAGTATTTGTTACAATGTTTTTTCCCTACTTTACATGTCTGAAACCGTCCTTGCTTCTTACCCTATCCCCCCCCCCACGAAAAAATATCCTGGCTACGGCCTTGCATACAGGTACTGGTTTCAGCGCAAGATTATACATAGTAAATTCCTCTATTCCTATTTGAACTTTATAACGTACACAGCAAAATTTAAAATCTTGTTGACTTTTTCAATAAAGAGCAACGAATCTTTTATAAGGAAATCGGTTCCCAGTCAATTTCATTGAAATTTTGTTATGTTGTAGTCGAAATTCTTCTGATGAAAGGTCTTCGTAGGCCCAATGGCAAAAAAATGAGAGATTTTGAGATATCGCTCAGTTAGTGAAGCAATGACGTAACTGATAATTAGAGTAATTATCAGTTACGTTTCACCAAATGAGCGATATGTAGTGTAAAAATTCCGTGTCACATTTTTTTGTCGCATTTCTGTACTTTGCCGCCAGATGAAAGGTCAATTTTCAAAATTCCATTTCTCAAATCTGTTCTATTAATTTTTAACATCGGGTCTATGAGAACCTTTGATTCGAAGAATTTCAACTACAAAATTTCAGCCGAACCGTGTAGGCACCAATTCCATTCTAAAATGTGCGAGGTAAACTATGAACCATTTGGTTTTGTAACCGTCATGACAATTTTTCAGTAATAGTACGTTTTTATTTATTAGGTGTTGAAAACCATGCTGACCCCGGTAAGTTTAAATTTCTTTCTTTCTAATGAGATTTTAAAAAGAAGAGTTCTAAATTTTGACAATAATTTACATTGTACCTTGAAATCTCTGTAAAATGTTCACTTCAAACAAAATTATCTCTATCAATAATCAGTAAACAAAAATTATTCAAGGTAGTACTTTTTATTTTCAAATTTAGTGGATAAAAATTGTAAAAAATAAGGGAAAACAATCCCACGGACAATGCGACGGATTTAAGGTTATGTCAAGGTACGTCTATTATATGGACTGCGGGACACTTGTTCGCTTTTGCTCACCATTGTTTCTCATTCATCATTGTTCCTATGATTGCCAAAATGTTCCTACATAAAATAATTGTAGATTCATATNCCACAAGCACTTCCACTGGTTCAAGAGGTCCACGAGGGAAAAATGCACACTATTACCGTTATTACAGAGCACGGAAGGGAGCGGAACAGGAAAAAGAGTCGTTGAATAGAACTAGTGATCCTTCTACGACTGCTGATTCTTCTACAATAAACGTCGCAGGTTACGAAGTTTAACTTCTTCCGCGCGGTGGGACTCCGCACACTATTTTTTTTTAATGTTATTGTATTATTTTGGAGAATAATAATGTTTTTTTTTATTCGAGAGATAAATTGAAAGAACGAAATTATCTGTCTCTGTGTTTTTGAAAAATTGACAACATCCAAAATGAGATCACAAATAATTGAATGCATCGTTAAAACAGTTGGAAATGTAAAACCATTCTAAGTATACAAACGCCCTACAGCATAATCGGTGCGTCACATGAATATTTTTTCATTGATTGTCACAAACCAATATGAGCCAAGAATTTTCAGAAACTATCATCATTAGAGAACGGGAATTAAAATATTTGTGTAATCTAGTTATCTTTTTTCAGACGAGACCAAAGAGGCAGCCAAGAAAGGTATGTTCCGAAATTATTAACTGTGGCAAACAGGCATCAAAATACAGTTGTTTACTACTGTTTCTTTTTCTTTAGGAGTTTTAAGAAATTATCTCATATAGCAAACCGATATCAAAATATTTGTATGACAGAGTTTTTCATAATGTATAAGAAATCAACCTAAGCTAGATTCGCTTAATTAATCTTTTCAAAGGTAGATCATTATCAAAATATTTTTATCATAAATTTATTTCTTCATTAGTTGCAACAAAACAATTTAATCCAGATATGTTAAGCTATTGTCTTCAGCGGCAAACCATGAGCAAAATATTTGCATCCTATAGTTTTTCATAATGTAGAAGAAACAAATCTAAGCCAGATTCGCTTAACTAATATCTTCAGAGGCAGATTATTATAAAAATATTTGCATCATAAATTTCTTCATTAGTTTCTAGAAAACAATTTAATCCAGATATGTTAAGCTATTATCTTCAGAGACAAACCATGAGCAAAGTACTTGTATCCTATAGTTTTTCATATAACAAATAAGAAACAAATCTAAGCCAGGTTCGCTTAACTAATATTTTCAGAGCCAGATTATTATAAAAATATTTGTGTCATAAATTTCTTCATTAGTTGTAAGAAAAAAATCTAAGACAGATTTGTTAAGCTATTGTCTTCAGCGGCAAACCATGAGCAAAATATTTGTATCCTGTAGTTTTTCATATAACAAATAAGAAACAAATCTAAGCCAGATTCGCTTAACTAATATCTTCAGAGGCTGATTATTATAAAAATATTTGTATCATAAATTTCTTCATTAGTTTCTAGAAAACAATTTAATCCAGATATGTTAAGCTATTATCTTCAGAGACAAACCATTAGCAAAATATTTGTATCCCGTAGTTTTTCATATGGTATAAGAAACAAATCTAAGCCAGATACGCTTAACTAATATCTTCAGAGACAGATTATTATAAAAATATTTGTATCATAAAGTTTCTTGGTGTTAGAAACCAGTCTTACCCATATTTGTTAATCTAATATTTTCAGCTGCAAATCATTATCGAAATGTTCATGTTTCAGAGTTTTTCATTAAGTGTTAGAAATTAGTCAAATCCAGATATATAAAATAATCTTCATCTATATGATTCAAGTATAATTTTTGTACATCACGAGATAAAAAATCTTTATAGAAAAAAAGGCTTTTTATTGTACAAGAAATATTACACACTCAATTCAATTTTGAAAAAAATAATTCCAATTTATTTTAGGCCTTTTATCGGTAAGCCCTCATTATTTATGTTCTCTGTTAAACTGAATTTATTTAATTTTAGCAAATGAAATGTTTTATTTTTCCTTAATTAATTTTCAGCTTTAAATATTTTTCGGTTAAAAAAAGCCAACTGTGCTGGCAAAATGCCTAAATATTTTAAATTCGTTCTGGACATCTTAATTCAAAAATGCTGTAGTTGTATTCAATATTGACTCAAGTAAATAACTAAATTTTAAATATTCTAAATTATTACACACATCATAGTACTACAGAGATGCCAACTGCTCCGGACTCGCCAACATAATTAAAATAACGGTAAATATAAGCAAAGAAAATTTTGCAAATAATTGACTATTTTTGCTTGCTTATTAAACGGTATGGCATGACATAAAAACTATAAAGGGGTGAATTATATAAGCCTACGAATTATTTAGAAATAGTGGTGGACAAAAATCTATTAAATTGAATTTATTAAACCAAGAATCACAATTGATAAACTACCACTTTAAAATATATATTTGCAGTCCGGAGCAAGTTGGCATCTCTGGCTAAGAAACAATCAAAGTAACAAAAATTAAACCATTTTTCCCCCACTTATGACATGGGCAATAGAATTGAAAATAAGACAAATACTCAAAAGTAAGAGACCACTTTAAACTTTCGCGAGACCTCTTTAAATTTTCGGTCATTGGCGGCCTTCAGGTGGCTCTATAACATAGTGAAAAAAAGATAATGGCTCCAAATTGCAAAGAATAACAGATTATTTCATTTCTTTACAATTTGCAAGCTCTGTATGAACACCTGGCCGATCATCAACATGCTTGCATGTAAGCATCATTTACAGTTTTATCACTTTAACGCCATCTGTTGGTAAATGTTTTAACTATTTTTGGGAGCGAAAACGCTGCTCCATGACGGTTTCGAACAGAGGATCCGAAGCTGGGAAGCTCAGAATACTGCCAATTAATTTGCAACCTCCATTCTGTATTACGGAGTGTGACGCAGCAATGACATGGTTTAGCACTACGGCTAGAGTTGCTGGTAGTGGTAGAACATAATCTTCATAAGATATACTCAAAAATAAAGTCACGTGGCGTGGATGTAAAACTATATGCTTTTCTTTTGGTGTACTCAATCACGCAATACTATTTCTGAATAAGAGTAAGTATCTGAAAGTTACGTAATTTTCCTTCTCTTCACTCCCCCCCCCCCTTCGTCTTCATGGTTTTGGTTAATCTTGCTTTTTTTCCTACGGCAGTACATCTCAGTAAGGAGTGGGATTATAGCATCACCTCCTGCATCAAAAAACCTCCACACGGTCTTTTATAAGTAGTCCGCGCAGACTGTTTAAAAAGTGAACCAGTTGTGCGCATGAGGCCAAAACCTTTTATTAAAGTAATTAACAGAAATTCATCATATATATTTGAGAATTGAATCTGTAGTGGTTGACAAGTGAATAAGGCAAACCAATAATATTCATAAATAAAAAACATTTTTAGTCATATATTTGCTACCACTTTCTTATTTTTAATAGATTTTATATTAAGTGACTCGTTCGGAAAGTGGATATCCTTCACAGTGGTCTGATCAGACTACTTCTAAAAAACCGTGTAGAGGCTTTCAGTTATAGGAGGTGTTGATTATAGGCGTCTTTGTAAATAGATCTTGTGACTCAAGGTAGCGCGATTTCTCTATTTTCCAAAACCTTCCGTTCCGTTTCCACGGTATCAGCAAATCTAGCTATTTACTGACCGCAGTGGGTTTCAATAAGAAGTGGAAATATACTAACATTCGGAAAAAGCAAGATTTGCAAAAAACCATAGTAATAGAGAGGGGAAAAACGTAGAGAGTGGGAAAATCGCTTAACATTGAGACGCCTATTCCATGTACGAAAGAGTATATACGAAAACGAAGAGTATAAAAAAAACTTCGAACTTGCTACTTTTCAATACTGTGCAGATTGCTTAGTTACAGTTTGCATTTCGTGAAATATTATCAATTAAATTAGGTCATTCTTTTTTAATAACCTTGCACAACTTATTTTATGTTTCCATGAAGTTTAAAAAATGATTTTAAACACCGCAACTATTGGTAAAAAGCACACAATACCAATGTTATAAAACAAAGTACTTAAAATAAACTCTACAGCTGCATAAATTAATTCTGGAACATTTATTTTCAGAAACTTTTAGGTCCTATCCTCGGAGCTGTAAGTGTAACCGAAAATATTCCTACTTTTTTCATTTATTACTCTTTCTGGAGGATACAGTAATTTTTTTTAATAATAACTGGAGCTAAGTGTCATTTAGTGCAAACGTAAAATTATAATATATCTCTTAAATATAAATAGTGGTAGATTTAGTGAGTACATTTTTCAGAGAAAAATTTAAATAAATATTTTTGCAACCAGTTTGCACACTTTACGAATAATCAGCAGCCTTGGCGTACGACCTGAAAATAAAATGCTTTATTTTATTTGTCTGGTGCGTATGAACTCTGTTAAAGTAACTCTGTAAGAACTCTACTGTTTAAAATTTGATTAAAAAAATTTATATTATTAATTAGATAATTTCCATTTTTTACAGCTAGGTGGTTTAGTTACAACATTACTTCACGTAAGGGCTTTTATTAATTGCTTGTATTTGTCAATTTTTAATATGTCGTCTGTGAGCTGTAAATTTTTAACATGGATAGACAAAGTTCAGAAAAAATAGTTTCAATTAGTTAAAATTTATTATTCGACTTAAAATTTATTTTTAAACGCGCATTTCAAAGCCATGACGATATTTTTAATCGAGAACTTTGAACCGTGTTCAAAATAAAGAATTAACAGACTATAATGAAATTGAAAATTTCATTTATATTAGATGAAAATTTGGTCATCATGAAACTTGTTTAAAACCCGTTTGAATCGAAATATATTGGATATGTATATCCAAACAATTATAATTTAACACCATTTACCAAAAAATCCGATTTTTTTTTACTTGATAATACGTCTGTCTCAGGAACTATTCAAATGATTATTGTTTCACATGGTTAAAAATCGGAGAAAGAATAATTTTTGCTGAAGTCGTAATCGTAACTATGTGGATACTCTTCTCCATTGGCCATCGAGATTGTTGTTGCATTCAATCCTTCACAATATAGCTTCAGTTATATCAAATCCATGACTCCAAATGCTCCAGAAAAGTGACGCACCGAAATCGGTTGAAAAAGAATGTCCGCTAAGGAAAAGTCAAGATAATTTAGGATGTGTTCGGGGGACGTTGGAGAGACTTTGAGGCCATATTTTAAAGTTGATCATTTTAAATAATGGTTGAAAACCAATATATAACCTAGAAGGAAAAGAGCAAAAACTGGAACGAAAGACATTTCATTTTTGCAATTTTTTCGAGAAACATTACATTTCTGTTACTATCGACATTTTTTTACAATTATAGCATACATATAAAACTGCTTCTTTTTTGAGGAAAAAATATGTTGTTGAATATTTTAAAGCAAAGAATAGATTTTCACCTTTCGAAAATAAATAAAAACTGAAATAGTTTTACAACCAACTTTTCCGTCTCTCTGTCCCCCATGTTTTAAATGGTCGCTTATGAATCACGAAACTACCGTTTGATCCAATCTATCTCCTTTAAACTCTAGAGCACCACCAGGGCTTTTTCTGCCAAACCAGTGGTGAACAGGAGGTTTTAACTATAGTTGCATAGTAGAAGGAGAAAATCTTTTGATAGGCAATGAGGTAGTAATCTCCTTTAAACTCTAGAGCTCCAGCAGGGCTTTTTTTGCCAAACCAGTGGTAAACAGGAGGTTTTAACTATAGTTGCATAGTAGAAGGAGAAAATCTCTAGATAGACATTGACGTAATCATCTCCTTTAAACTCCAAAGCGCACCAGGGATTTTTCTGCCAAACCAGTGGTGAATAGAGGGGTTAACTATAGTTGCATAGTAGAAGGATAGTAGTAGTAGAAGGATAGTAGTAGATCTTTTGATAGGCAATGAGGTAGTCATCTCCTTTAAACTCTAAAACACCACCAGTGCTTTTTCTACCAAACCAGAGGTAAACAGGAGGGGCTAACTATAGTTGCTTAGAAGAAGGGGAAAATCTCTTGATAGGCAATGAGGTTGTCATCTCCTTTAAACTGTATAGCACCACCTGGACCAGTGGTGAACAAGGGGATGGGGGGATAGTGATAGTTACATAGAAGGAGTAAATCTCTTGATAGCAATGAGGTCATCAGATGTTGCTACCTCAGTGGTGATTTTTATGCCAGGCTATCTGCGACTTCATTAACAGGGACACCAACATAAGATTTGATCCATTATAAGTGAACATCTAGAATTTTGGTGAGTTGTTTCAATGTAATGAGTCAGTGCCCACACAGTATTTTTTAAGTAGTCTGCGCAGACTATTTGAAAAGTGAACCAGTTGTGCACATGAATCCAAACTCTATTTAAAAATAACTGAAAGAAATTTACCATATTTATTTGAGAATTGAATCTGTAGTGGTAGACTAGGGAATAGGACAAACCAATTATATTCATAAACTAAACATATTTTTCGACATATATTTGCTGACACTTTCTTATTTTTACTAGATTATCGATTATATGGATCTTTCGTAATTTAGTTTGCCTTCAAAGTGGTCTGATCGGACTACCTATAAGAAACCGTGTGGGGGCTTTCAGTTGTAGGAGGCGTTGTTCCTGCCTCTGTAAGTATTGTAAAGAGCTGCGACTGTCACTGAGGATACAGATGTCGCTAGAAGCATTAATTCAAGAATCGATTTTAATCATTCGCGAATGGTTATTAGTTCGTTTCTGAATACCGAACAATTATGAGAGTTGCGTCTTGAAACAAAAAATAAAATGACTTTCGATAAAAATGCCACTTTTAGTATGATTAAAATCATTCTTACTGCCATCGGTTTAAATTTGACTGAAACGCTTGGGATGTAATTTATGACCTCTAGAGCTTACTTTCTCCAGGTTTATTTATTATCGAAATTCATTTATAAATCAGTGGCAAAATTTTTTTTGTTAGTCCCCAAAAAACATTATGACAAAAATATTATGATCATTTGAATCTAGACAACCATTATGATAATTGAATTTAGATTTAGAGGATCTAGACTAATCTAGATTCTTTTAAATTGCTATATTCAGTCAAATGCCTTAACTTATTGAAATTCTGTTCAGCATTTTATCATGGCGGAACATTTCCCTCCCAATTCAAAACGGTGGATTTCAAAGTCAGTAAGGTAGATAGATTGGACAGTAATGTTATTTCTCTTTAATCCATTTTTACCTAGCTTCAAAAAGAATATAATAAGTAATAAAATCTAAGTGAAAAAATATGTTACCAGTTTATAACACAAGCTGACCAGCGTCCTTAAAAGCTTTTAAAAAATGGTTGGAAAAAAATTTGTTCTAAACGGATCTTTGAAACCGCATTGCTTTATCTTTCTAATTTAATATTCTGGAAGCAAAAATCCCAGGACGTGATTTTCTAACTGAAGTCATTTTTAACCATATTTGGAAAGGTTAAAAGTTGAGTTTTCGTCTTTTCTTTTAGACATTTTAATACTAGCATTTCAGTTTTCCGAGAACGCTGGTCAGACTATTAATGCCTGGAAGAATTTCTTGTTACTCACCCATTCAAGCATTTAAAAACTCCTGTATGCTTTGACTTTAGATCAAAGTATGAGAATTTACATTATCCGAGCTGCCAACTACTACGATTTTTGCGTGAAATTTTTTCTAGTGGTAGAAAATAGAAAACTAAAACATTCAGAATTATTGTTGATTTTGTCAACATTATAAAATTCTCAACACAAGAGAGCTCGCAAAAAGGTGTTTAAAAATTAAGCTTCAAATCTTTCACATGCAGCGGTGTAGAAAATATTCCATATAAAGAAACTAATATTAATCCTTTCGCTTCATTTGACATGTGGACTTATGATGCATGCTTTTCAAATAAATAGGTGGTAGTCAATATATTTATTTGTCAGCCTATTACAGAAAGAATAAGAAGAAATCTCCCCACAAGGAGTAAAAAGTTGGCAGTCCAGTGTAATCAAAAATTTTTGGTGGACAAAAATCTCTTGTGTTGCCAAAAAAATATGTTTTCTATATATATATATANAAATGAATAATAACTGTAGCGTTGCTAATATATATATATATATATATATATGATGCCAACTTCTCCGTGTTTTGCGAAATATTTAATAGTGTTCTAGACAAACGTTGTACCTCTCCGAGACGTGTGAGTCATATATGCACTCTCAGGGTGTCGATAATTTGGGAAAAAAAGAGAAAACTGGTACCCAAGCTATTTTTATCGCAGTTTATTTGTGGGAGGGGTAATGATAGTTTGCATTATTTAATTCATCACTACTTAGTTCGTATTAAAAAATGTATAGTTACACTTTTAACATACATGGATTGGATGTGTTAGATTTAAAGAGAAAGCAAAAATAAGTCAGTCAAATTAGCTATGCCCAAATTTAAGCAACCCGCTTTTTATTTTTTGCTATCCTGATTCTGATTCCGTACGAGTACATTTATGACTCTCCCGATCCGAAAAGGTTAAGTACTCAGAATTTTTCGGTAATACTTTAAATTATTTTAATAGCTCCTTTCCGTTATAACTTAATGAAAGTGGCATTTAATAAAAACTTTCAAATCATCAACATGTAGAGGCCGAAAAAAATAAGTTTAAATCCAATTTACTTTTTGTTAACTCGTTCACGCAGGGAAAAGTGAAAATATTGGTAGAACTATTTCAATATTAGATAATATTCGGGAGGAGTTAATCTATTCTTAACAATTCACTGTAAGGAAATTAATCACGGCGAAGAAGCAATTCATTATAAAAATTGCATTCGTTAAAAACAATTGGTAGTTATGGATTTTTATTATTCCTGGAAAAAAACTAAAAAATGAAATTTATTGTTACCAGTTCTTACTCCGATGCGCTGCCAAGATGAAACAATCTAGCGTGACCCACCGGTGGGTCACCCCGGCGTGAATGTGTTAATCTTTATACAGTCTTTCGTTGACGAGAATCTCAAACTAAGGTCGTTCTTAGTGGTTCTGTAAATTGCCACGATTTATTTTTTTTAATCATTCTTATTTCACACAATTTCGAATGGATTCTCTTATTATTTGCTGACCTCTTCGATCTCACCACAGCGTGACTTCTAATTCATGATGAATGGGACTCGGAACAAAACGCGACTCTTCCATCACCTCCTACATCAAGAAACCTCCATACGGTTTTTTATAAGTAATCCGCGCAGACTGTTTAAAAAGTGAACAAGTTGTGCGCATGAGCCCAAAACCTTTTATAAAAGTAATTGAGAGAAATTTATCTTATATATTTGAGAATTGAATCTGTAGTGGTTGACAAGTGAATAAGGCAAACCAGTAATATTCATAAATAAAATAAATTTTTAGTCATATATTTATTACCACTTTCTTATTTTAACTATATTCTATATTAAATGACTCGATCAGTAAGTGGATATCCTTCACAGTGGTCTGATCGGACTACCTATGAAAAACCGTGTGGAGGCTCTTCTCGGCCAGATCACCTCTTACATCAAAAATCCTCCACACGGTCTTTTATAAGTAGTCCGCGCAGACTATTTGAAAAGTGAACCAGTTGTGCGCATGAACCCAAAGCCTTTTTTAAAAGTAATTGAGAGAAATTTATCTTATATATTTGAGAATTGAATCTGTAGTGGTTGACAAGTGAATAAGGCAAAGCAATAATATTCATAAATAAAACACATTTTTAGTCATATATTTGGTACCACTTTCTTATTTTAACTAGATTTTGTATTAAGTGACTCGTTCGGAAAATGGATATCCTTCACAGTGGTTTGATTGGACTGCCTATAAAAACGTTTTCATTAATAGGAGGCGTTGGCCAGATCCATCAGATGAAGCTTAAGCTTAGATCGTTCGAGAAATTATATTCTAAAAGATGTTTAGGTCAAAATTCGTTGAATTTGGAATAAAGTTTACGGTTTGTGACCCAGGGATTATGAGATTTCGTCAACTTTTGTTAAATAATGTTTATTATGAGAATGAATTTGCCTCTTAAATTTTTTTGTTATTCTATGTTTCATTTAAAGGATATTGGCAGTGGGGTAAGTAAAATGCTTCAGATTCCTAATTTACAGTATGAATTGCACTATCATACCCTCCATCATTTGAGGTTTGAGCGAAATATAATTATCAGTGGTTAAAAACAAAGCCCAAATATTTTAAAGCTAACAGAACTTTCATAAAATCATTAAAAAGACTCAAGAGCCGGATCATTCCTATATCTGATCCTTAATACATTTGATTGAATTAAGCAAAGGTAAACGAAAATTTATTTTTTCTAATTTAAAATATTTTTTCTAAGCTTTTGAATTGAAAAAATATTTTCTGAAACTACGGAAATGCCATTGTAGCTGGAGGGTATGCATAGTGTATAATTTATTTTCCGTGTTTTATATGAAGTCTTTTCCCACATTGAATTCTCTTCTACATACTTTTTCATAATAAAAATAGAACTTCACTATTTACAATTTTCACACTTGGTACCCTAAATGTAAATTATTTTGGTTTTAAGCTTACAAACTAGATGGTATTGTTTGCGTCTTTTTTTAATGAGGATGCTCTTTTGAGACAGGCCTAAATATAAGGTTGGAGATTTACGTTTTTTGAAATTTTCAAGGGTTACATATCTGCTAAAAGCTATATTAAACCATATCTTTATGTATATTGTCACTTTAGCATCCAAATAGAGTCTCGGTGCCGCCATCTAGTGTGGCAGAAACTAGATGTCTAAATTAACATGGCCAACGGTATCTCACCCATTGTGGTGGTCCTAAAAGAGTGGATACCACTTCTGAAGAACTCACTAGGGCTGCTCATCGGGAAGACTGATAGTGCAGCCCATAGGAAATTTTAAAAAAAGAATTTTTTATTGTAACGCAGTACAGTTTTAGTACAATCTACTCGGGCTCATTGTGGACTTTTATAATTTGAGAAAACGAAAAAAAAAATATTGGGGTGCTGTTACTTGATCAAGATTTTCAGGTCAAAATAAATGCCAAAAAATTTGTTTTTTCACTAACTTTGATAAATCATAACACTGAAAAGCAATAATGTTCAAATGTTAATGTATTCTAAACTAGGCAGCAGCATTTTAACCCTTTGCACTCGAAGTCCTTTCAACTGTTAAAAATATGGACGCAACCACTAACATTTTGAAAGAATTTTTGTAATCTTACCTTATAAAATCCGAGGATCACTGAATGAAGTGGTAACCACACATTAAGATGAAAAAAATGTCACAATTACAGTGGTGGGTAATTTATAGGTGACAGTGGTGAGTGACAGTCACCTCTCGAGTAGAAAGGGTTAATAATGTAGCATAACGAAAGATAGGAAGAGCGTAGATTTCCTTAGGTAGGCCATCTTAAATATATTCACGTTTAACCTTTAAAAATAGACTTTGAATTTTGACATTCCCTTCTGGGTAGGGATATACGAGAAGCTTGCACAATATTCGTTTTCCATAATTTACTTCGATATCAAAAAAATTGAAGAACTATGAAAATACAACTATCGCATATTATCTGAATAAAGGCTGTATAACTGTCAAAATAGTACCTCTAAAATGAAATTTCGCATAGAGTTATCAATGCAATTGTAATTTCACAACAGCAGAATAAACGCTCCTCAAAAACCAGAACGTTTGGCAGCAATGTATTTGAAGGAACTGCAGTTCCACTGGTTAATGAGGGCCGCAAAGCACTCCCCTAAAATATTTCATTGACTTTATGAAATATTATCTTATATA